TGGGAGGGGAGAAAAGTGCAACAATGAATGAATGGAAATTCAAAGTCTCTGTAAATTTTCATTGAAATGAATAATAATTTTTTTAAAAAAGAAAGATTAAAAGAAAACCAACCCATTAAAACGAATTTGATTTACTTTTGTTTGTTTCCAAAAGGATAAAGCACTTATTTTTTTTTCTGACTTAAACACTAAAAGGTCTGAAAATAAGAGAATTTTCAGTCCATCTAGCCCCCACGTATTCGCTTGTAATTTTCTGTTGCTTTGATGTCAAGATTTAGTTGTATTTACCTTTCATTCCTCTAAGATCTTGGTTCTAATTGGGATAATATGTAACTAGTTTGGGTAAATAAAAGTAGTTTTAAATTCCATTTCAAACTCAAAGATAAAACCTCTGGGGGGAAAGTGTGAATGAGATAACCCAGTTTACATCACCTCATCTAATGATATATATTAAGAAGTTCAGATCAAAATGTGAGAGTCACTTTTTATTTCTCCTTATTCTTTACTTAGCTATCTGGAATATGGACTCCATGACTAGATATTAATTTTTCTGTCTCTAAAATGTGTCATGGAGGATGATACACCTTATCTCATTTTCAGCTACCAGCATATTGTGTGTAGGCTACCAATTCAATTTTTATTCAGTATCCCCTGCCTTTAGTATGAAAATAACTCCCCAGACAATTTTTTTAATTTCTTCCTCTTGTCTGGCCTATCATTCCAAACACAGTCACTACAATTTTTTCTGCTTATGTTAGATAATTCCAGTTTTCTGCCTTTAGTTTTTTAGTGTCTGCTTGCTCATACTAGTTTGAATGTTTGAAGCCTTTCTTAGGACAGCAGCTTGAATTTTATTCTCTGAAAAGATATGTCATGATTCTAACAGTCAATCAAAGGGATTTGAAAATGGAATTTTTGCACATCTGATTAAGTGTCCTGGGAGGATTCAAGGCAATCTCCCAAAAGATAGGCTTATGTGTTTATAAGAAGAGGTTGAGTCACACGGAGACACAGGGAAGGAGGCAATGCGAAGATTTGAGCAGAGATGGGAAGGCAATCACAAGGTACTATTTGTACCATTCCCCCCCGCCCCTATATCATAGATCTGTTGCATATATTCATTTAGAAAGCCTTGGTAACATTTATGCAAAGTTTGATGGAGACAAATGTTTTCTTGCCATATACTATGAGTTTAGATGTGCATTCTTCAGAACAAGTCAAGCCTTGAGATCTAGCCAACAACTAAACAGAGATCCTGGCCAGAGCCAATTACCTACGTTGCTTCTAAATCCCAAGGCAGACAACTGTGAAATAATGTTGGCTGGGTTATGTATGCCACTACTTTTTTGAGTGTTTGGAGTGATATGCAGTAATATAACCAACATACAAATCCTGTATATGGAATTTTATATTAGATTATACTTGAAAATGAGAAAGCAGACAAACAAAGATGATAGTTTAGGATGAGATGTAATTGCAAATATTTTGTTCTGTGACATTTGCAATTATTATACATACATTATTAAAGAATGAAATAAAATATGACTTAATATAATGCATTTGATTCACTAGTTTGTCAGTCAAATAAAACAAAGAGAAGTTACTTTCAATATGTTAATGGTTAAATTGAGTTCTGTGTGAAAAATTGTATAACATGCTTAAATTTGAGCTTTGGCTTTACAATTAAGTGGCATCATGTTGCTTCCACTCATAGGATACTATGTATAGCAGAACAAAACTCTCACTGGTCCTTCACCATCGAGATATTTGATACTCTGTTGGAAGCTATTGTTGCAGCAAAATATAGTTTTAAGAATGAGGAATTCTTAGCTATGAATTATAATTAATGAGGGACCAAAAGATTGAACCTGTCAATTACTTCATCTTACTTGGTTCCACTATTAACACTCTTTGTTCCAGAAGTCAGGAAATCAGGAGACTCTTTGCAGTGGGAAAGTCTGCCATCAGGGACCTCTCCAAATTATTGAGGAACAATGATGCCAGTTTGAGGACTAATCATATGTGTCTGATTCAGGCCATGGTCTTTCCAATCACTTGTTATGCATCTGAGAGCTGGACAATGAAAAAGGATGACAGAAGAATTGATGTCTTTGTACCGTGGTGCAGGAGTAAAGTTCCAAACATCCGTGTACTGCCAAAAAGACAAATATGCCTTTGAGAAAGTGCAGCAGAGTGTACCTTGGAGGCAAAGATGATAAAGCTTTGCCTCACATACATACTTTGGGCACATTGCTAGGAGAGGCTATTCCTTGGAGAGGGAACATGATGCTTGGAAAGGCAGACAGGGTCAGTGAAGGAGAGGTAGACCCTGGACTGTGTATTAGCACAGTGACTGCCGCAGGAGGCTCTGTGTGTCAGGAAGTGCGAGGATGGCACAGCATAGGACAGGGGTTCAGATCTTTTGTTCATAGGGTTGCTATGTGTCATATTCAACTCGATGGCACCTAACAAGTAACAAGTAGCTATTTAAGTACAAGTTTTTTAATCTTTAAAATAATATGCCTCTGAAGGACAAAGGCATTACTTGAGACTTCTTAATCTGTTTATGTTTTAATTACATTAAATGATTAAAATACTCAACATAACTTTTTAAAAAATATTTTTATTGGTTTTCATACAACTTAATATATATTGTATTTCACACATTCCTTCATATACAGTGTATTTCAGATAATCATTTCCATGCATTGTATTTTAGAAACTCAATCAACATTGATCTATGCCCATTATTACACTGTCTTTCCAGGTCTCCACTGGATCTTTCCTAATTCCTTCACCCCCCTCTGCCCACCAAACTCTGTGACCCTGTGGTATCCGCTGTCCTCCCTCAGCCCCCTTGCTCCCTTGCTTTCCTCCTTTGGACTTTCAGTTACTTCTTACTAATTATTCTTCTGTTTTTATAGTAATGATCTTATGCAATATTTCTTCTTATAAGACTGAGTTAGTTCACTGAGCATAATGCTCCAATTTCTGCCATATTATGCAGTATCTTTTGAAATCATTATTCCTGAGTGCTGCGTAGTATACCTTTATGTGAATCTAACTTTTGCTCTATTACTGTTGAATAACATTTTGCAAACATTTCAAGTGTAATATATATAGATAAAATAAAATCTAACAAAACACAAAACTATTATGATCTATAATTTAAGTTACACGTTTAATTTTGAAAATAAGTTCTTATTCTTTTTTAGGTGAATCTTTATGTGGTAGTTTTCTCAATCAATAATGTATATGCAAATTATTCTCTGAAACTATGTACAGTACCTGTAATGTGTTGACATTTACTTGCTCCTCCCTTGGCCCTCTTTGTCCATTTTTCTGCTTTTCTTGTCCTTCCCTGCTTTGTTACCCTCAGTCTTGGACAAATGTCCTTTTGGTTTTGTACAGTCGACTGTTCTGAGGAGCACGTTCTTCACAAGTGTTGTTATTTTAGGCTTGTCTATTCTTTAGCTGAAATTCCACCTATGTGAATGTCTGTAGTTTTAGGATGTTTTGAATTAGAATTTTGTCGTACATTTTCTTAAGCTATTGTAACCAGGATCTTGTATTATAGTTCTGTCAAAGGGGTTAGTACTTGGTTAGAGAAACCTCGTACTAACTAGGTGTCTTAGGTTAGTACGTTGTGGTTCACATAGACATTAGTTCTTCAAAAGAATTTCTGCCTCTGGTCTTTGGCTTTCTTAATATCCTTTTGTTTTTAGGCAGGAAAAGACCAATAGTTGTTTCTTAGATGCTTGTTCAGAAGCTTTTAAGACTCCAGCTCCCAGACATCAGACTAGGAGACAGTGTCTTGTCTTTGTGAGTATCATGCACTAGATGTCCCCTGAGATTGTGGTCTTAAGCCTCCAAGTCCTGTATTTCTGTTCTGATGCCCAAGTAAATTTTATAATTGTACCCCTTTTTATGTCCTTTTAATAGGAAATTCTGAACTCTTGGTATGTTTATTGTTGTTTCCTTTTAAAATAAGATGTTAATTGTCAAGAGTAGGGGCTTTAAGATTGTTCAGATATTATGACTCCCTTGTGTATACATTAGTGCTCTTTTATGGTTACTATTATTTTTGATTCAAATCTTCAAGCACATCTTGCTTTGTAATTTTGTACCATGCATCAGGGATTTTACCTCTATCTTCAAATTTTTGCTGATATTTTTCCTCCACTTTTGATCTGAAGTGACAGACAAACCATTTCCAGTATGGCTGTGTGGATGAATCTGGGGTGATGCTCCATGTGGCATAATCTCCTCCTGCCTGTCGATAGGTTTTATATGGGACTCTCCTGTCATCACTTAAGCGAAAGGAAATGTCACTTGCTACCAAACTAGTACAAAAATCAATGACAAACTGATTTGTTAGGTGCCATTTGAATCCACCTATAGCCTGAGGACGGTGGAAGGGAACACTGTGTTCTCCTTCATGTGACGGAATTGTGTTTGTACAAATTGCTCCACAAAAAGGACATTGCTTCCAGCAGCCACGAAAGTGTTCAGAGAGCAATTTTTCAATTTCAGGAACGATATCCTTTAAAGACATTCTCAGAAAATCCTGTTCTACCCCCTTCATTGTAGGTTCCAAAGCTGCACTCATAGTTGCTTTGAGAAATTCTATATCTTTTATTTCCTGGTGCTCAATGCCCACCAGGTCTTTTCGTGGAAAGATCAAGTTATTTCCTAATTGATCACAGAAGAAATCCAGCCATTCTGAAGCAGTGCTGCTTTTATCGTGGGCTATTTTAGAAGATTGTTGAATGGCTGAGAGGATAACATTTTTTATGTCATCTAAACTGATTTTTAAAAAGGTTTTAATTGTTTCACTTTTGTCTGAACAGTATCTGCTACTATGTTGTTTAATGTAGTCCCTAAAAAATGACTGTGGATGGTGAAGGTATTGCCAGTACTTATCAAAGTTTTCCTCTTCAGCCAGAGAGATCAGAATGTGTTTCTCCAGGTTAGATCTGTTTCCCCTGAATGCAGGATGGTTCGCTCTCATATCTCCAGCAATTTTAGGAGCCATATTATTCCTAATGGTGGTGGAGACAGCAGGTGAGAGCTTATGCCACAGAAAATCAACAAAGGTTGTGATGGAGGTCGCTCCTTGGCAGGAGATCTTAAAACTCATGAAGAAATCCTCTTTCTTGCTCTCTAGATAGTTTACAGGATCATTTGCTCTCTTGAATGCCTTGTGAAGCTCCTTAAATCTCCATGATGCTTTTTTGAACAAACACAAAGATAAGTCAATTTTGTATTGAACTGTGAATTTGTATCTGTCCTGGGTGGGTAGAGCTTTCATCTCTGCATCTATCATTTTAAAGATTTTATGAAAATCATTGTGATTGTAGTCACATTTTTGTTTTTCAATGTTGTCAATAATTTCAGTAAATCTTGAATAAATGTGATCGGTTGTCATAATTATGGACTCTGTATCATGAGGCTCTAATGGCCTTCTGAACCCTAAATATGCATTGGACATTTGGATATGTCGGTCATAGTTGATTTGAAATTTTTCTCCAGAATGACTCTTTATTTCATCCACCATATTTTTCTCCTTCTTGAAGTATTCCAAAAGAATATTTTCAGAGTCTATCTCAATGTCAGGTTCCATGGCTGGAGGGAGAATCGAAGCCACATCACAGACCCATTTGTTCCAAAGTTGGTTGAACTTCTTGCATAGCTCTTCCTCTGTCAGCTCTTTGCCCTTTACAGTTAAAGCCAAATTTCGACTTTTTTCCAATAACTCCTTTAAATAACTTGACTTTTTTTCATCCAGATTTTCTTGACTTTTCTTCAAACATAGAAGCTCATTAGTTTTTCTCTTACTTTCTGTAATGAGTGTCTCTTTAAGGACTATCAACTTATTTTTAAAATTTGCTTTCCACTGAATCAATACTTCACTATCTGGATCTTCACTGAAATATTTTTCAAGGTCTTGCTTGATGCTTTCATATTTCTCTCCCACTGGAACCTCAACTTCACTGGGGGTGAGAGTCTCAATTTTTCCATTCTGAATCTGATTGGTCAGCTTGTTCTGCAAGTCTAGCACATGACTCCTGAG